CCCCCCAAATAAACCGAGACCCGAGACACCCAAACTAAAGAATCATCCCGGCCCCCCGCAACAAAACCAACGTATCCCCAGCGACCACCTTCTCGCCCAACGTATCGCCAAACTCCAAAAACACCCCGCCATCCACATGGAACACGCGCAGCCGCTCCTCCTCCCCAGCCACGCGGTTATTAACATTCTCAACTCCGAGCCTCCGCGCCGCATCATCCAGCACCCGCCCGACCTTCCACTTCCCATCGAACCAAAACGCCCCTGCTGCCCCTGCCCCCGCAGCCCCCGCCGCCGCCGCAGCAGCAGACCTAGTAGGCGCCGCCGCCGCCTCAACAGAAAGATACACCCTCCGCTCCGCAGGCACAGCCGCATCCCCCTTGGCCGTGCGCTTGAGGGCGTTGACCGCCATCGCGCGATTGACCGGCTTGCTTTTCTTGGTAGTCGTAGTCGTAGTCGTAGTCGTAGCCGTAGCCGTAGCCGTAGCCGTAGCCGTAGCCCCCTTATTCTTATCCCCTAGACTCTTCCCTGCATTCCCCCCACCCCCACCGCTACCCCCCGAAGCAAGCGAAGCAAAGCTGCCCCGCACCCGCGCGAACATCGACTTCAGCGTATCTTGCCCTTGCCCAGCACCCCCACCCCCCTTACCACCACTCCGGGGGAAAGGCTGGCAAGCATGCCCCTCCCGCAACCGATGCTTGAGACAATACTCCCTCCGACATTCGGGGCACCGGACGCCCGGTTCGGAGAGGGTGTGGATGAGGGTTTTGCAGGCGAGGTGGCTGCATTGGGCTGTGTTGTGGATATTTGGTTTGGTTGGGGGGGTTGAGGAGGTTGAGGCGGAGGTTGGGGTTGAGGTGGTGGTGGTGGCGCTGCTGCTGCTGCGCGCCCATTCCCCCGCGCGAGGACACTGGTGGGCGGATTCGGTGCGGTGGTCGAGGCAGAACACGCCCCTGCAGGAGGCGCAGCGGAAGGGGAGGAAGTCGAGTTGGTGGCAGTATTCCAGGTCGCAGTGGTGGCCGATGCTGTCGAGGTCGGTTTCGGGGGGTTCCCCATTGGGGGGGGTGTTGACACTGCCGCTGCCGCTGCCGGACATTCTTTCTTTCTGTAGTGGTGTGTGTCTTTGGTTGGGATTTTTGCTTTGGAAAGGGTAGGTTATGGTTTGAGTTAAGGGTGAGTGTAATGAGTGAGTAGTATAAAGGTTGGATTTGAATGAGAGATGTTATGTTTAAAAGAAGGTGGGTAAGCTGGCTGAGAAATGCAATATCACGGAGTCAAGTCAAGTGGACGATGATTAATGGTCTTCTGGCGGGTGCTGGAAGATGCACAGGGACTTGTGTCCCTGACTCAGCGTGGCGGTGCAGCAACAACATTATCTGATGGCGGAGATTAAGACGGAGATAATACTAGCAACAAAAAAAAAAGCTAAGGTCAAGGGGTATAAGTTATCACACACGTCAAAAACACTTTACGCAGTCAGGCAGATTACAGCATATGCCGAGTACAACACTGAAGTCATCCGTCCTCCGTTTGATTTCCTCTCTTTGCCTCCTTCTCCATCCCCCCGGAACTACCCGCCGACGCAAACCGAATCGGCCCCCGCGACATCAACACAGGCAACCCATTCCCCATCGGCTCGGACGCCGGTGGTAGATACAGCCTCGACTGCGGCTGCCCCGGAGTAAGAGGCGGGGACATCAGCACGGCGGATTTGTCGGAATGCGTCCAACTCCCTCCTTGGGCAGAGCCCGTCCCGGAGACCGGCGACGAGACCACCGACAATGGGGACATGACTGAAGCAGGGGCTTTAGTCTCCTGCCCGTTAAGCTGCTGCTGCTGTGGTTTGATCTCCTGCTCGGTCAGCTGCGGCTTGGCCTCCGCCTCACCCGGATGTCTATCCGCCTCACTCCACACACCTCCATCCCGACCAGCCACCTTGGCCGCAGACGCGGCAGAGCTCTTCCCTCCCACTCGCTTCGGCGATCGAGGGGGCTTGGTCGTCTTCGAAGTGACCTTGGCCCCATTCGCACGCCTGCGTTCTTCCGCGGCCCGTCGCTCGCGCGCGGCATTCTCCTCCGGGGACGGGACCTTCAATTTGATATGCAACTTGCGCACCCCGGCAGCCAGATTGTCGACATCATCGCTGGTGCTCTTGTTCTCCGCGTCCCTGCTCTCATCCTTGTTCCTGTTCTCATCCTCGCTCTCCTTCTTCTCCGGACTAGGCTGAAACTCCGGCGGCACTCGAGGCACAGGAGGTGCAGCGTACGCACCCTCACGTTGGGGCGTGCTAGAACGAGAGCCACTAGCCCTGATCGCACCAGTGGCAGCAACCGCCGCAGCCTTGGAAAGCTCTCGCGCATTGGAAGAATCGCTGCCGACCGATTCGGCCACCGCACTCTTCCTCCGTGCAGTCCGTACCACAGGTGACGTCTGCTGCCCCCGCTCCGGTGGGGCATCGATGGTCGTCCTGCGCGTGCTGCGCGCTACCGGCCGTTTCGGCATTTCAGCCTGGGGGCTGGGCGGCAATGAGGTCTTGGGCTTGCGCACTCGCAGTTTCATCCGGTTGTCCTCCGGCGGTGCAGGGGGTGCGCTATTGGCGCTGGGGGTCGCGCTGCGAGCCGCCGCCGTGGCCGCCTGCCGCTCCCGGCGCAAGCGCGATGCCTCTGCGTTCAGCTCCTCCGGCCGACAGCTGGTCGTCTGCCGATACGTCGGGATCAACACTTTAAAAAGCTCGTGGGTGGAGGTCGCCCAGCCGACCGGCGGCAAGGGCGGGGGCGCCTCGGGCTCGACACTGTAATAAGAGCCTATCGACCGGCGATCGCGCGAGGGGTTCACCACCTTAGCGGTAAAGGACTGGGTGGGTTGGAAATAGGTCGGCGCCGCTTTCTCCCGGGGTTTGACGGGCGCCAACGGCGGGTACACCAGCGCTTCCAATTCCTCAAGCATCCCCGGCGACCACCACTCGTTGTCGTAATCAGGTTGGGGTGAGACCACATCCACCGGCAGGGTGTCAGACAGGCCCAGACGATCGGTCATCTCAGATGCCAAGCGATCGATCTGCTGGTCCTCGTCGGTCTCCCTGGTCTCGCTCAGCCCCGCCAGATGGCTGAGCACGCCACTGGTCAGCGCGCGATTGCTGTAGCCGCCCTCCAGGACACTGATGACGCGCCCGTCCGTCCCCAGCCCTTCTTCGTTAGCCAGCCGCACCACATCGGCCGTGAATCTGGCGTAGAACTCGGTCGGAACGTTCACCTGATGCCGCTGCATGCCAGCCCCCTCCCACTCGCTGGCGTCAAACCCCGCCGAGAGGAAAATGGCCGCCTTGGGCGGAGGTCCATTCGCGGCGCTGGTCAGTCGCTGCGTATGTCGTCGTAGGAAGGCGCGCGCTTTCTCCAACAAGATGCTATACTTGGTCGTGTACAAGTCCCAGAATTCCTGGTTGGTCTTCCACGGCTCCAGATGAACATTCCAGATCGATTGGCCGTGGGCCTTGTCGATGCACACACTCGCATTGCGCACCTTTTCCGCGTCGCCCGCCTCGCAGGGATACGAGTTGATGTCATGCAGACTGAAGTATCCCACCATGGTTTTCTTGTGCGCCGCCGCGTTCCGGGCGGCGGTGCCGGCTTTCTGGTTCTGGTCCCAGGCGATCTCCTGCGAGCCATCCCCGTGATGCAGATCGAAGTCCAGGATCGCGGCATGAGTCAGACCATGGGCCATCGCCGCATGCGCAATGCCCACGTGAACATTGTTGATCCAACAGAACCCCGATGGGTGGCCCGAGGAGCAGTGGTGACCTGGCGGGCGGATGCAGACAAAAGCTCGCTTGGTCGGGCTCGTCCCAAGGACCGCATCGACCGCCTCCGTCACGCCTCCCAGGGCGCCTTCAAATGCCGCCAGCGACTCCGCGCAGAGATAGAGGTCCCCTTCATGAAGAGCGGGCGCGTTGTTGGCGGCAGCAGCAGCAGCGGCACCGTCCTTGCCCGCACTGCGGGGTCGAACCAGCTCCTTGCCGTTCAGGGCCAGTCGCGACTCCGCCGCATTGCACATGCTCCTCAGCTCCTCCATCCACTGCGACCCGTGCACATGGGCGACGGCGGGCGACTGCAACGACAGGGTGCGCGCGGTCCGGCGGATCTGGAAGGGCGGCACGGGCAGCTGGCGCGGATCCAGTTCGGGGTGCGGCGCGTGTCGACCGCCGGCATGCCGGCGCGCCAGGTGCACGTACGCGGCCGCGATGCCCAGCACGGTGGCTTGGATGCGCTCCGGGCGTTCGACGATGGAATTCAGGGCGGCGCGGGAGGTGCGGGGGCGCGCGAAGCGATGGCCGTAGCATGCATCGTGTAGCAGCACCAGGGTGGAGGCCTGGACGTCGGTGGACTGATGCCAATTCATCTCCTTCTGCAGGAAATCGGCTGCGATCGACGCCGCCGTGGGCAGAGAGCGCTCCGGCGCGGTGGCCGCGGGCATGCTGCTGGCGGCGGCGGTCGGCGGAGATGACCCCAAGGGCGAGGAGGAGGAGCGCCGCGACGCGGTGGTCGGACGCGGAGAGGCTGAGGTACCTCGGTTGGAGTGCAGCGACGCGGTCGATGAGCGCTTCTTCAAGCTCGGGGTGGACTTGCGGCGATCGTCCGCCAGGGAATCAGAGCTGGGGATGCGCCGAGGGGGCGGGTGCGAACGCGCGGGGGGATCGGGGGGCGATAAGCGCGACGATACACGATCGGGAGGAGATGGTGGATGCGGAGTAGCGATGATAGAGGCATCGGTTGGGGGAGTAGCAGTAATATAAGAGGATCCAGGATAAGTAGAACTTGATGTGTTTATCGCAGTTGTTTTTGTGGTGGTGTTGGTGTTATCGGACACAGTCGCAGTGAATGACGGAGGCTCCGCATCGCGTTGTGAGGGGTCCATGACGGGCCCATTGGATGATGAAGTATAACACACAAACAAAGACAGAAGATGACAATCAGAATAGGTGCCCAATGTCTGACGGGGTTGTGAGACAGAGGAAGTTTATAAGAGCGACGGTAAACGAGCAGGTGAGACAAGAGAAAGGGGAGGCGTTGTTGTTGTTGTTGTTGAAAGGGAGAAAGCGAAACAGGGAGAGGGAGAGGGAGAGGGAGAGGGAGGAGGAATGAAGGTGGTTTGTTGCTGTCTGTACCTTTGGGTTTGGTACGTTTGGATTCTCCCCTCAGGGGTTTCAAGTCCGGTGCACTGCAAGTAGAATCCATAATCCATAGTACATTCCACCCCATCAATCCACAATTTCTTTGCTTCTAATGAGGAAGTTGACAGCTGACTTCTCTCTCGTTCCCTCCCCAAACACGCAATGATCAACGAAAAATTGATTGTATTGTTTTGGTCTCTAGAAGTTTCTTTTCATTGTTTGTCGGTCTTATGCAGCCCAGCCCAGCCCAGCCCATAGACGATGAGGGGAATCTCTTGATGCAGTGTCTTAATCACCAGTCCCTCCCAAATAATATACTCCAGGGTAATATGCATAACTTCACACACTTATCACCCAAGCGTTACTTGGAGATGAAGGGTAAAAAAAAAAGCCAGATAACGCCCTGAACCCTCTTTACCTGGTGTATTCCACCAGGTTCTCAAAACGCCTGTTAAACCCCAACCCATACTCAATAAACCCTGTAACCCAAAACCACGCAGCCGCAGCAGCGCCTTGCCAGCAAAGCAAAGAAAGAAAATATCAAAACAGCCACCAACACCGATACATAACAAAGGAAAAGCAATTGCAGCAACAAAGTTTCGAAACATAGGAAAAACAGTAGTAAACGAGAGACATTCTTCTTAAACTCAATATCCCTCTAGATCGTGCGCGATCGGAAGTGGAAATGGTACCACTTGCGCCGGCGGGGCTCCAGCGAGCTCTTCTCGCTGCTGGAGCCGCCGCTGGAGGAGCCGCTGGAGCTGCCGGTGGAGCTCGTGGAGGCGCTCATCATCGACAGGCGCTTGCGCTCCTGCTTGCGCTCGTGCTTGCGGCACTTGCGCTCCGACTTGAAGCCGCGCGTGGCGTGCAGGTGGCAGAAGCATTGCATGTGGACCGTCTTGATGTCGAGGCTGGGGCAGCTGTCGCGGCTGCGCTCGGTGCAGTAGTGTTCGCCGGCGGCCTCCTCGCAGTGGCACCAGGAGTAGATGGTAAAGTATTGTTGGCACATTTTGTTGTGTGATGTGATGTGTGTGGGGTTGTAGTGGGTGTATGTGGAAAGATATAGTTCGGCGGGTGGCAGGTAGTATAGGTAGGGTTCGTCTGCTTAGCCGGAGAAAGCCTGA